TGGGTGGCACTGTGGAAAAATACTGTGGAAAACTTCCAGCTCCACCTTCCTATGTTCCTGTTATCATGGGAGGACTTACAGACAGAATGACCTTCCTGGAAAGAATTAAAAATGTAATGCTTTCTCTTTTTTTTGACTTCTGGCTTGAGCCATATGACATTCAGTTTTGGGACCAATTTTACAGTGAAGCATTAGGTAAGAAGTGTGCTTTTCATTCTAAAGTAGTTATTAAAAGAAACTTGGGAAGCTTAAGAATAGTCTAGGAAAATGAAAGGACTATATTTTAAAACTTTAGCTTCTATTTAAAAGTCTATAATTTATATTTATTTATAATAAATCTGTTTTCAGTATTAGCGGGGAAGGGGAAGTGAGAAATATTTTGCTACAGTTACTTTTTTCTTTACAGCCATCTAGTCGTTTTGTAAGATACTTTGATATTGAGTAGATTGCTATCGAAAGAAAACAAAATATGAAACATAATAATTAATGTCACTGCAAATCTATACTTGTATTTTTATAACATTTAAAAAACTAAATACTAAAGTGTTAAGGGAATCACATTTAGATGGTAGATATAAAATTTCTAAGACAATGTTCCACACACGCATTGCCCTTGAAGACCTTCCAGTCAGACAAGATGTGAAGATGGAAGACAGTGATATTCATCATCTTGTCCCTTGGAGGCCTAAGCTAATGTATGTGTTTGTCTTAGTTTATATCAAGAAAGTTTAGAAAGTTAAAACAAATTTAAATATAAAAAGCTTACAAAATAAGTATATAAAAAAGAAATTATTTTTCTATAGCCATACAAGGTATTTGTTTTAAGCTGTTATTACAAAAGAATAAAAAAGTTGAAAACATTAAAAATGTACAAACTAAAGCAGGTAAAGTAAGGTAAATGTATTATTAAAGAAAGTATTTTCATACATTTAGCATAGGTTAAGTATACAGTGCTGATAAAGTCTCCAATAGTGTACAGTAATGCCTCAGGCCTTCACATTCAGTCACCACTGACTCACTGAGCAATTTCCACTCCTGCAAGCTCCTTTAATGATAAGAACCCTAAACAGGTATCCCATCTTTTAATATTTTATGCCATATGAATGCATTACTTTTTCTATGTTTAGATTTATTTAGATGCACAAATACCTGCCATTGTGTTACAGCTGCCTATAGTATTTGTGCATATAAATAAATTATGGACATATGCTTTACAGGTTTGTACCTTAGGAGCAATAACTATGCATGTAGTCTAAGTGTGTAGGAGGCTATACCATATAGATTTGAATAAGTATGTTCTATGATGTTTGCACGAGAAATAACCTAACTATACATTTCTCAGAACATATTCCCATCATTAAGAGACACATGACTTTATGTAGAAAGTATAAAAGAATGGGGGGAAAAAACCTCCAAGGAACTAATAAGAAATTATAGCAAGGTTACAGTATACGAGATTAATGTGGGAAACTCAATCACTTTTCTATACACCAGTAATGAATAATTGGAATTTGAAATTAAAAGCACTATCATTTATAATAGTCCCTCAAAATAAAATAAAGATCTATTTGAGGAAAATTATAAAACTCTGATGAGCAAAATTAAAACATTAAAAAAGGCACAGATATTTCATGTCCATGGAAAGAGTCAATATTATCAATATGTCAATTTCTCCAAACTTGACCCAAAAATCAATAAAATTCTGATAAAAATTCCAGCAAGTTTCTACATGGATATTAACAAACTGACTCTAAAGTTGAATGGCAAGGCAAAATATTCCAAATAGCCAACACAATATTTAAGGAGAAAAACAAAGTTGGAGGAGATCACTATCCAACTTCAAGACACTATAAAGCTAGAGTAATCAACACAGTGTGGTATTAGCAAAAGAATGCACAAAAAGATCAATGAAACAGAAGAGATCTATGGAATAGAAAAAACACACAATGCCGTCAATCATTGTCAAAGAAACAAAGGCAATACAATAGACAGTCGTTTTTAAAAGCAATGCTGAAACAACTGGATATCCACATGCAAAAATAAATAAATCTAAACACAAATATCTTAAGCTTCACAAAATTTAACTCAAAAGTGTAGTATCCATAGAATTATAAAATTCAAAACTAGAAAACCTAGATGATGTTGGGTGTGGCAAAGGCTTTTTAGATACATCAAAGGTAAAATCCATGAAAAACAATGAATAGGCTAGACTTTGTTAAAATTTAAAATTCTATTTTGTGAAAGTCAATGACAATAAAATGAAAAGATAAGACACAAATTGGGAGATAATATTTGCAAAAAACATGTCTGATAAAGGACTTTTATGCAAAATATTGTTTTAACTCAACAATAAGAAAATATAAAACCTAATTTTAGAATGGACCAAAAACATTAACAGATACCTCACTAAAGAAGATATACAGTTGGCAAATCCACAAGCATATTAAAATGCTCCATATCATTTTTTCATGAGGCAAATTTAAATGAGATGCTACTACACATTTTTTTTTTAGAATGACCAAAATGTAAAACACAGATAACACCCAATGCTGGTGCATTATGGAACAAAGACTCTCATTTTTTTCATGAGTGGAAATGCAAAATTGTATAGTTACTTTAGACAATAGTTAGGAGGTTTCTTACAAAATTAAACATACTTTACCATTCTATGCTGCTCCTTGTATTTATCTATAGGAGTTGAAACCTTATGTTCAAACAAAAACTAGCAAATGTATGGTTATAGCAACTTTATGCATAATTGCCAAAACAAGGGTATATGGGAAATATTTTGACCTTCCAAAAACTTTTTTATAAATATTAATTAACTTATTTATAAGTAAATCCAAATGTATTTTAAAATATTAATTTTTAAACTATACATTAGTTTACTTTCATGCCTTTGGAAAGAAATTAATAACTTAGGGAGCCTGGAAAAGTTGTCTCACAATATCAACCCAGCTAACATGACTTAACTTCTGAGAAACTTGTGACTGTCTTACACTGAAATTCTCACTGGTACATCTCATCTACATGAGCTGTTTTGCCATAAATTCAGGCTACCTCTAAGAATTCTTCAAAAAATAATTTCAGTAGACTCCCTTCCTCTCTGAAATCAATAAAGATATATTTTAAATATAATAAAAATATATTCAAACAATAACAATATTGACATGATAACTGAAATGTAACAACTCACTTATTAATGATGTTATTTTCACAATTTTCCACTGTGTTCATAACTCATTTTGTGTAATATTGTTACAGAAGACTGGAAAAAAAAAACAAGCCATGCTTAGAGAAAGGGAGTTACATTTTATTAAGGGCAAGGCCAGAGAAAAATGTGCCTTTCAAAATCTCTCCCTCCCCCACCCCCAACATAAAGGAAACCTTTTCTATTTATACTTTTTCTAGCTCTTTTGTCTTCCAAATTTGGAATGCAATTTCTGGGCCTTCTGGGAAAGAAGGCCTACTCACTGGGAAGGGGCCATGAGACCATATCTCAAGACCTGGTCTAGTGTCAGCACTGACAACTCTGTCTGGGGCATAGTCCATGACCTCTCTAGAATGGGAGTAGTCTTGTTTTTCTTGTTATTTAAGCAAACAAGCATTTGCAGAAGCCAAAATAGCAGGATTAAAATTTCAAACAGCAGTTTTTATATGAGATGGATGCTTCAATATAATGATGGGGAAAAAATTGGTGGTGAATTTTCTTTCTATAATTTTGTTTCATAATTTCTCAGTATGACATAAAATGTCTTATGACATTATTTATGAACTTCATACTTTTGTTTAATTCCATTCTCTTTGCTTTTGATTGGCTTTAGATTTGATACTGTGTATCACTGCTGCAGATATAGAAGTTCAGTGAATACTTTAAGTTATATCTTTCTTAAAATGTGGTCTATAGGTTATGTACAATAATCTTATCTAAGGAGTTGGTAATCAAGGCAGGATTGATTAAAGGGCATAAACATTTTGGCATAGAAGCTGTGAGGTGGTGTTCTGATCTAATTTATACCAACTTCAAGCTGAGTGTCTTTTTGCAATATTTCTTCATTATCAAATTAGAGCATATGAGTATACAACTTGAGACACATATTCAGACACTACAAAGTAATGAGTAAAGAAGAGGCTAACTAACCTGGGGTGTATATGATCACTAATTTCTATTAGAATCCTCAATCTTTCCTTAGATACAAAACATGTTTTTTGTGTATAAAAATGGTTGAGTTGGTTATTTGCCAATACTCCTTCAACAAATCTAAAATTAATACTTAGACGCTGTCCCATTTAAAGACAACAAATCTTCTAAAATTAATACTTAGACTCTGTCGGATTTACTTTATCACAAAATAAATGTGTGATATTGGTAATGTGTAATGTATACTTCACATTCTAAAAAGAATCATACTGGGTATGAATTACTCAGGGAATTCCTACTATGAAAAAAAAGAATGAAGTAGATTGGAATGGTCTCAGGAAGATAAGGTAAAGTGATATTGGTGGGATTCTTCAACAATATGAGTGAACAAGAAACCATAAAAATCTAGGAGGTGGAAATATATTCCTGACAGGAAATTTGAAAACTATTAAGATGTGATTTGGTGCTAATATGATGGGGTTAATGTATCATCTGCCATTTAATTGGAGGGAAACTGAATATAAAATTTATCAGTACTTGGAGTTGTTAAATTATTTATGAATTTAATTTTTGTGAATTTATTTTATTGATTCTTATTTGATTTTATGAACTTTATTTTATTGAATATATTTTTTACACATTACTGTTCTTTCACTCTCCAAATATCTCTTCCTCCTTTTCTCCCTCTCTTTCATATTACTTTAAATTACCTTTCCTTTTAAAATTTAGACAAAATAAGTAATCTAGAGGGCCTAGATTTCTCTTTTTTTCTTAATAGCACATTAGAAAAGTAGTGGTACATTTATTTTCCTAACAAACATATATGCTAATAACATCCTCCCAACTTTATATTCTCCAGGAAGACCCACTACGTTATGTGAAACCATGGGGAAAGCAGAAATTTGGCTATTGAGGACATATTGGGATTTTGAATTTCCTCGTCCATACTTACCTAATTTTGAGTTTGTAGGAGGATTGCATTGTAAACCTGCCAAACCCTTGCCTAAGGTATGTCTATTACAGTGGAGGTTTTTGTGTATCATATGATAAAAAGTCTGATTCCCCTCTAAAGGTCACAGTCTAAATAACAAAGATGTGCTGCTGGGTATCTTCAGTGTGCTACTCAAAATCAATTTTTCAAGTCATAGGGGTCTCTTATGAGTGATATTACTGTTTCATTTGGACTTTACTTTGATATTTAAGCTGAAAAATGAAGTGATTTAAGGAGCATGTTAAAAATATCAGTGGTTCTATAGCATGGGTACTAGATTGAAGAAACAGGAAACTAAAGACTAGGAGACTGCTGAGTCTTCCTAATAAGCACAATGGAATTATGAATAGGGACACTTACTATGGTTGTTTGAGAGACAAATAGGCTTATGTGAGAACTGTTGGGTAGATTCCACAGGATTTGGTCAGTAGAAGTAAATATTGCCAGAACACGTAGCTTCTTGGATAGCAGTGGCCTTTGCTGAAATAAGAAACAATTAATGAAAACACTATTTTGAGATGACAATTATGAGTTCAATTTCAAATTCACTTTAAGGAGCCAACTGAATTTTCAGATATAGATTTCTAGAAGTTGCATGAGTAATATAAGGTTTCTGTCCCAGCAGAGAGCATTAGAAATAGATTGGAAGTCATCAACATAAAGTAGAAGTCAAATATTGGTTTGGTTCTTTTAAGACTATCATGTCAGGTTTTTTTTGTGTGTTTTTTTTTGTCATTTGTTTTTTGAGTAAAAAGGAAATTATATAACGCATTCCAAAGTTATACAAGAATAAATCTAGACTGCCAGAAATGTTGGAAGAAAACAATATTGGGAAACAAAGGAGAATAATAGGTGAGCAGAGTAATAACTATCTTGTATTTAACTATTTTTATCAATAGGGAGAAGGGAAACACTCATTTGCTTGGGTTGTAGGTAAACAAAACAATCTCTGTTGAAGGTTACAGGTAAAATGGTGTTCCCAGTAAAGTTCTTGATTTCTGCTTCGGCTAAGGTGCATATTTAACTTGATTCTGAATATGGTGTTCTTACAAACAGTTATAGCTTCAGGAAAACTCTATTGAGTGTTATTACAGGAGAGTCAATCAATATATAAATAAAGGTAGAGTAAGGGACATGACACATTCTGTGGCTTACTACATAACACCTTGACACACTATTTTGTTTATTACAATTTCATAAAACTAACTCAAATATGATTTACAAGAGGGAAGAATTTTTCCAATTATTAATATAGACATTTGAGCAACATGAATATCAATCATGGCTTACATCTCTGAAAAAATAATTAAACCAGTCACTGAATAAACAATAAAAAAGCAATGAGAAACAGTAAAAATCAAGAATCCAAAGCAGACAGTTAGTTATGTAAGTCTTAATGTGTTGTGTGTGTGTGTTTGTGTGTGTGTGATTATTCAATCATAATTTTAGGAAGATGAATCAAAATGGTAAAACACCAATTCTTGGGACTTCAGAGATATTCTCCTAAGGAGCGTGAGCTCCTTTAGTTTAACTAAGCTAAAAATAGCAATCTATTTTTGTGGCACCATCTTTCCCCTGGTAATTTTACTAGCCTTATATTGAGAAACATCAGTGATCACAGACAACCACAAATAATTACAAAGAAAATGCATGATAATCTCTAGAGGATGACATTCACATAGATTACAATGTGCAAATCCGAATCCAATACATTGCAGTGTTCAACCTGAACAGCTGTAAGCAATGAATTCTATTTTGCAGAGAAATTTATATTTTACTTCTGTACTAAGCTCAAGTTAATGGCATGCAGTTAGTGTCACATTCTTATAGAAAGAGAGTGAATCACTGTTTCATAAATTTATCATGATTATAGCAGACGTTTGACTGTGTTGTCACCTTTTAAACAAATTATTATATATACCTTTTTTAAAAAAAGTTCCATTTAGCCCTACAAACCAGGGAAAGAATAAATATCAGACAAATATCCTAAACTCCTAACAGAAAGTTAGATGACGTCATTAATAATTTACTGACTGTAAACTGGCATGCTGAAAAATGTTAAAGCTTAGTTCTAAACCCCCTTTTAAAGGGGCTTCCCTCCAAGGAATATTTTTGTGAGTTTGCAAACAACTCTGTTGGTTCATAAAATTAAACTTTTGGAGTAACAGTTTCATATACCATGGGAAGATTTGCCTCTTATCATCTATTTATTTGGTACCAGGGGCCCATTGCATGAATTGGTGCACCTTGAGAAGTGTGGGCTGCAAGGCTGTGGTGGGCATAGGGAAGGGTCTCGGCCCATCCTCAGAGGCTCTGCGTGGCCCCTCCTGCCCTAGTCCCCTATCTGCCTGCCGACAGCCTCACTCCCACCACTGCTCACCCGCACTGACAGCACTGGACCTGCTCCCACTCACTGATGGCGAAGAGCAATGCCAGCAGAGGGTGGGGGCAGGACCTAAACCATCAGCAGGGGCAAGTGGGGACTGCTGCTCCTATTGCCTCCAGGAGCAGGGGGAGGTTGAGAACCCGGAGAGGGGATAGAGCCAGCAGCTGCTGCTCACATCTGCTGATGGTGCTGAGTGATCTGGGCTGGCACTGAGCACTGGCAGCGGCTGTAAGCAGCAGCTCTGGCGCTGGCAGGTGCAAGCACCCAGTGGGACCATGGTATGGGGAAAAAATAATTTTCAGTAACTACCAGGGGCTCACCCCAATGACAGTGACCAGCACCCTACATTGATCTGGCACCCCAGCTCATCTGCTCCACCATCCTGCTGCAGCTGACCACTGCCATGTTCTGCATGCCCTCTGGTGGTCAGCACACCTCATAGCGACTGGTTGTTTGATGGTTAGGTTGTTCCACCATTTGGTCTATTTGCATATTAGCCTTTGATTCTATAGGATGATGCACATAGATTACAATGCCTTTAATTGTAATCACTCATTATATATTTAAGCCATAGTTTTCAGACACATTTTTGTCTCTTAAAGAGACTAGCTGGTTCTATGTGGTAGAATACCTAACCAGTCTAACAATGTCTCGGACGCTGCTCTTCACCCTGCCTATTTAGAAACTAGAGGCACTGGAAGGGTCCCTAGCAGCTGCTGGCTGCTGGCTAGGTACTCCCTCCCTTCTCCCCACCACCTGCCGCCACCTGTGGCTGCCATCACTGGCCAGGGTCTCCTTCCCTTCCCCCAGTGGCCACAGCCAGAGGGGGCCTCCCCCTCTTCCCATGGCTAGCCCCACCCCCTGGTCAAAGTCCATACAACTCCCAGTAGAGGAGACAGTTTTCATACTATGCTTTTATTATAAGGATGTAAGTGATTTCCCCCCTCTCCCAGGTGGTCCTGTACTTTTATAATAGAGAAAACTTTATCTCTACAGGAAATTGAAGAATTTGTCCAAAGTTCAGGTGAACATGGTATTGTAGTGTTCTCTCTGGGATCAATGGTGAAAAACCTCACGGAAGAAAAAGCCAATCTCATTGCCTCAGGCCTTGCTCAGATTCCACAGAAGGTCAGTACAACCTATGATCTTAGTTAGCAGCCCCCTTGCCAATTGGAAAGTGCAGCTAACCAATAGTACTCTTTCCAGGTGAAAGCTGAAACTCATTATATACATTTAGCATGATTGACACCATATTTAAGTACAAATTTCTCAAAACATTAAAATGTTGTATTTGGGCCCTTTTGATCATTTGCCTACTGAGCCTTTGTAATACTATGGAAATATAGTATATCTTTTTGTAAAATTATTTTCAAGGAAATACAACCAATGTTTGCAAACTACCCCTTTTGTACTCCTCTTGAATATCACATAAAATGAACTACATGATTTTTAAATAAGTCTACAGCCCTAAAATTCCTTAATTGTGCATTCCTACTTATAAAATTAATGCACTGTCTTTCACAGGTTTTATGGAGATACCAAGGAAAGAAGCCAGCCACATTAGCAGCCAATACTCGGATCTATGACTGGATTCCCCAGAATGATCTCCTTGGTAAGATTGGGGGGGAGGGGGAAGGAAGCTGTACAATTGGATGATGAACAAGTTAAGTAACTGATAAAAGCTAAATTCAATCAACATTTAATAATTTAAAAATTTTACATTTTAGAATAGATATAACGAACCAATTGGCCATTGAGAAATTCCCGCTTCCTCTGGTTCACAAAGGAGAATCTTTAGTTAAGACTCTCCTGAGTTCTCAGATTTCAACCTCATTTCAGATATCACCTCCTCGTAGTCTTTCCAGACAATGCAGAAGGAGTGAATTTGCCATTTCCCATGGTCACAGTTTTCTGAGATAGCAATAAATCCTGTGTTCAGCTTCTATAGAAAATACTGCCTTCTTCATTGATTTATGCTATAGTTTTTCTCTATCTTTCTCTGAAATTGTTTCATATGATGAAATCCTCATCTGCTTCTCACCCAACCATCAAACTAGGTCACCCCAAAACAAAAGCTTTTATCACTCACGGCGGAACAAATGGGATCTATGAAGGTATTTATCATGGAGTCCCTATGGTGGGAGTTCCCATGTTTGCTGATCAGCATGATAACATTGCTCACATGAAGGCCAAAGGAGCAGCTGTGGAGGTGAACATGCACACAATGACAAGTGCTGAGTTGCGTGATGCCTTGAAAACAGTCATTTATGAACCTTCGTAAGTACTATAGCCTTGAAAGGCTTACCATTGGTTACATTACCTATCGTATTCAAGAATGTCCAAGGTACCTTGTGGTTGTAATTGGTGTACTTTTAAATAATAGCCATAAGATGACCAATATAAACACCATCTTATTATTTCATTTCCCAAATTGATGAAGTGATTTGCTAAAATTGTAAAAAATCCTCAGATTTCAAATGTCTTATCAATGTGGTTTTTTTTTTTAATGTTAATGATAAAAATTATCAGATATTTTGAGGCACCTGATGAGGAAATGAATCAGGAACCTTTAGGTACACAGGATGACACCCAAGCAACTAAACCACACCGGACAGGGTTCATCTGCTTACCTTTATAAATATATCTGGTTCTTTATATTATAGATGTTCAGTAAGTATAAAAATAGAAGTAACAATTTGCCAAATATTAATCACTCAAAAATAAACATCATTAACACTAAATGCATACCACCATTAGCATATACATATATACAACAAGGAGAGATAGAATGCATAATAACTTTGTAAATATAGATTGTATGAATTTTTATTTATTTATTATTTTTTAAATCAATCTTTATTGTTCATATTATTACAAAGGTTCCTCATTTCTTCCCCCCTCCACCAGGTTGCCACCCCACCCTCCTCCCCCTTCTCCTCCCCCATTGTCCTCATCCATAGGTGCACAGTTTATGTTCAGTCTCTTCCTCCCTACCTTTCCCCGATAGTAAATCCCTTTTCAGAAAGTAAATCAGTTACTTAGCATTTTCTCATATCAATAATACCTCCACATGCCCAAAGATACACTTCACTCAAAAGACATTTCCAAATAGGTCAACCAACCTCATCCAGGCCCCGCACAAGGCACTCACAGATCAACACCCCAGCCCTATACTAACTCAACATATCCAGATCTAAGCCTTCATCACTTGATTCAGCAGACCCTCAAGTTCCCACAAAAGTTTCCAGCCATCTCTGAGAGGCAGCCTTGGGGCGGGGGTAGGCAAGGAGCGAGCTGTTCCGGGCCTGGCTGCTCAGGGCCTGGCCTCTGTTGCTCTGGTCCGTTCCACAACCAGCTGCTCCAGGCCTGGCCACACCCAACCCGGCTGCTCTGGGCCTGGCTGCTCCGGTCCCGGCCACTCCAGGCCTGGCCGCACCCGACCTGGCTGCTCTGGGCCCGGCTGCTCCAGGCCCGGCCTCTCCAGGCCTGGCTGCTTCCAGCCTGGCAGCTGCTGCTCTGGGCCTGGCCACACCCAACCCGGCTGCTCTGGGCCCGGCTGCTCCGAGCCCAGCTGCTCTGGGTCTGGCCACACCCAGCCTGGCAGCTGCTGCTCCGGGCCTGGCCACACCTGACCCGGCTGCCCTGGGCCCGGCTGCCCCGAGCCCGGCCGCTCCGAGCACGGCCGCTCCGAGCCTGGCCGCTCCCGGCCTGGATGCTCTGGGCTTAGCTACTGCTGTTCTGAGCCTGGCTGCTCCCGACCCGGCTGCTCTGGGCCCGGCTTCTCCGGGCCCGGCCACTCTGGGTCTGGGTGTTCCTAGACTGGCCACCCTGGGCTTGGCCGCCTCCGCCTCAGGCCTGGCTGCCACTGCCCCAGGTCTGGCTGCTCCAGGCCTGGCTGTTGCTGCTCTGGTTCTGACTGCTGCTGCTCTGGGGCCTGGCTGTTGCTGCTCCAGGCCCGGCTGCCACTGCCTTGTGCCTGGCCACTCTAGGCCTGGCTGCCACCATTCCAACATTCTGTCCTTTTTTTTAAATTTTTATTTTATTTTAAAAACGCATTTATGTTGCAATGTTGGCTGCTGAGTTGAGTTCTGACTTAGTCTTTGATTTTTCAAGATCTTCTTTGTGTTCTGTCTTAAGTAATTTTTACTATCTTTTGCTCTCCCTTGATTTCTTCACATTGAGAACTTCAGTTTCTTCCTCCTTGTCCTGGAAGCTCAGCAGGTTGGCCTGTGGCACCCCTTTGTTCTCCGCGGGCTCCTGCACTGCTTCAGCCTGTTGCCGGGGTCGGCACCGCCACCCAGGAAGCAGTCCCCCGCCTCGGCTCCATTGCCCGCGCTCAGGGGTCGAAGGCTTGGGGGCACCCCCCCCTGGGAGCCCCGTCGCCCGGTTCCTTGCTGGCGCCTGGCTGGCCAGTGTCTGGCAGGGGCTCCTGCTCCTTGTCACGTTCCTCCAGTCTGGAGCTTTTTTTCTCCTTCCCGCTAGGGGAGTCTAGCATCAGAGTTAACAGACTGTCCTCTGCGCGCAATGTGGGCGACTCCGAAGGCTCAGGTTTTTGCTGCTCCCCCAGGACTCCACCTCACAGCCCCATCTCCCTCTGCTTGAGCCTGAGTCCCCAGGGATTGGCCTAGACTGGAGTTCAGGGCAGTCGGGAGTGGGGTTCAGCACCACCGGAAATTTTGTTTCTTCCCGCCAGGGCAATACAGCATCAGAGTCAACATTCTGTCCTCTGTGGGCAATGTGCGCGTCTGCCAGATTGTATGAATTTTTAAACAAAACTTTAAATTTTACCTATTTTAGCTAAAGATAAATTAAAATGAATCTATTACCTATATTTAACTGTACATGCATATATTTATATTTTAGGTTTTTTTTTTTCTCTGAAAGATCTCATCAAAGTTAAGAATTGATATATGTATATATAGTGTTGATTGTATTTTTTATTTTATTTATATTTGTGCTAATTTTTAACTATGTGTTTTAAATTTAGTCACTCCCAGTTTAATTCCCACTCTGGAAGTAATCTCATCCCTGATATGTATTACTTAAAATTTTAAGTTGTCAATATTTTTGGTAATTACTTTCTTCACATTTATTTAATCATATATATTAAGGGAATCAAATTTCTCCCTTAATTAATGAGAGATTCTTTATTCCAAAGTATTTTGCATTAGCTTTTAAATGAATATATCATAAGAAATTTTCTTTCAATAAAGATTCATGGATATTGAACTCTTTGAGATATGCTCATCGATACTTGCTCACTGCCTTGATATGAGCATCACACCTATCTGAATATACTTTGCTATTACTTTCCTTTCTTCAGAACTATGTAAATGTTACCTACAGTCTTCTAACTTTAAATGCTGATATGGGTTTTAAGATCTAGCTGATAATTTTCTCTGTTTCTTTTCCAGCATGGAAAAATATAATTAATTTTTTTAATTCAAAAACTTAATTATGATATTTATCTATAAATAATTTTCTACATTTTCCCTGGGTTATAATGATTCCTTTCAACACTCTTAATATAGAATAACAAAATTTAATTTTTCCTTTAATTAAATTTAATTTAATTAATTTTTGTATGTTATTTACTGGAATTACTTTTAGTTCCATTTTTAATATCTATTTCAGGGACATCAGATTCCAATGTTCTTTAAGTTAAAGTATTTTCAGTTGTTTTCCATCTTTATTGTTTTCTAACTGTTCTAGTCAATTTTTATTTCTCTGAAATTGCCTCAAATTGCCCATAAATTTGTATATTCACTTTTTCAACATGAGCATTGCTCACTGTTTCTAACTTCTCTTTTATGTGCTATGTTTAATGATAGTTCAACAGCTCGCCTATATTATTTATCACTTATTTTCATTTTATAATCTATTTTTGATTTCTTATTCATAACTCTTAAATTCTTATTACACGTTTATCTATAAGATATATGTGAATTTCAATATTAAATATCTATATATAAATGGTAAGAAATTTGAATGATTTGAAAGGATAGGCTTTTATCACCACTGTAGATTATCTTAAATGTATTTAAACAAATGATGTGAAATTTCTGTTTTGACCCTATCTATATTTTAAATCAATTAAAATAGTAGATGATTATTCTTTCTCGTTGTGCAAAAAAAAAAAAAAAAAAAAAAAAAAAAAAAAAAAAAAAAAAAAAGAACACAGTACCCCTTGCTGCTGGATCTACTATACCACATTCAGTGCTGAATGACAATGACCTCATTTCTCCTTCCCCAATCCCAGCAGTGTCTTGCTTCCACTATGGCATCTCTTCAAAAACCACTTACCTTCTATCCTCTTCATGTTTCCAGAATCAAAGAGAAATATACTAATTCTGTCTCAGCCCCCAAATGTCAAGAGAAGACACAAACTTCTCACTCAACTACATGTCTACACCCATTATTGTTTTAGGAGACCATTCAAGATATTAGCTCCATAACACTGATTACTGTGATTCCACAATAGCTAGGGGCTCAAATTCTAGTAAGTTATTTTTATTTACCTTGAAAACTCAAATTTCATCTCCTTGCCATTTCTAAAATGACCCTATCGATAGTACCTTCATCCAATTTTGATATTGCCAATAGAGACTATTTCCCTTGCATCACAAACACACAAGTATGTCCAGTGGAGGAATCCCAGACTCTGCAAAATTAACTAATTTATGTTCACTGACAATTTTTTGTCCCTGTCCTTATTAACTAGTCAGACATTAGGATCCATGCTTACAATTTTTAACGGATATTTTCCTACAATATGGGCTAGCCACAATATTGGCCTTAGAGGAGTCATTAAAAATCACACTTCAAACAATATTAAATTTCCCTCTTAAAAAAATGAGGCTTATTTCTTTTTTATATGTTTACATTTGACCAAATGTAAAACAATTTGCAATGTGTCAAAATTTTATTTCTTCCATACTCTCCCCTTTACAAATATCATTCAATCAGCAAAGTTCATGTCACCACAAGAATGAAATGTTTCCTTAACACATCTATGGATAACATGTTATGTAAAGGTATCATATACTTACAACCTCAATGAAAACAAATCTCTAATTTCTGTCTGTCTTTGTCTACCAGTTATAAAGAGAATGCTATGCGGTTATCAAGCATTCACCACGATCAACCTGTAAAACCCTTGGATCGAGCGGTCTTCTGGATCGAATTTGTCATGCGCCACAAAGGAGCCAAACACCTGCGGCCAGCTGCTCACAACCTCACCTGGTTCCAGTACCACTCTTTGGATGTGATTGGGTTCCTGCTGGCCTGTATGGCAACTGTTATATTTTTGGTCACAAAATGTTGTTTATTTTCTTGTCGAAAATTTGGTAAAACAGGAAAGAAGAAAAAGAGGGAGTAAACCATTCTAAGGGTGGTAAAAGTCTGAATGGGCAATGCTGTTCAGTTTAGCCACAATGACCTTCATGAAAACATATTATCTCCATCATGTCTTCAAAATGTTCATTCCTCTACCTTAGCTTACAGATAAAGCCTAGAATTTGACAATGCCGTTATTAGTGAGCATATCCTGTTCTTCTTTTGTCTTTTGCCAGATGACTTTAACCTCTTTCTCTCACTTTCCTGATATAGGGACACTAATAGTTTTATACAGAATCTATACAAAATATTATCTTTATTTTTTAAACTGAAATGGTATGCTGACTAACAATATGCTAAATCCTGGGGAACACACAAAATGAGAGCTAACTATGATGGATGTAGGAAACACAGAATAATAAAATTCATTTATAACATACAAATCAGGGAAACATCATAGAAGATTAGTATATTATAAGAATAGTATTGATTTTTTTTCCTGCTTTCCCAATGTTACTGGAGTCAGAGCATGAAATGATAATAGCTGGAATGGCACAGGCACTAAGATAGTTCTATGACTTTCCACTGAACACATGAATAATCATGGCTCATATTCCACCTTTAGTTAATAAGTATATTGGGTACCTTCTAGTGCAAGGACCTCAAAAAGATCAATTAGTCATATTTTCTCAAGGTCAGTATGTAGCAATATATTAAAGGTAAGCAGATCACTTTTAGAGGAAATAGCAGTACTAAGTATGGATAACAGTAATTTTATAAAATGTTTGATTAACAGTATAATTAATAAAGAAGTCAAATGTTAATTTATTATATTTAAAAATCACTAATGCTCATAATCTAGTAGTATAATCACTATAACCAAAGGTTTAATTTTATCAACAAAACAAACATTTACTTGGAATGTGAGATCATTATATTATGTTTTAATCTCAATCATCTGCAAATTCAAATTCATCAATTAATTGTTATGCCAAGAAGATATTAGAAGATCTCATTGAACAAAAATGTTATAGTAGATATTTATCAATGCAAAAACTAATTAAAGGCAAATGTTTATATTTGAATCGGCTTTGCATTCATTTAACCAATAGATTAAAGATTGAACTTTCTTTACCCTTTATAAACTTAGAGACCCAGTACATGAAATGTGTACATGTGGGGAGGGGGGGAGGGTAGAAAGTCCCCTCAGCCCAGCCTTCACCCTCTCCAATCTGTGACTCCTCTCACAATCCAGGACTGCTGGTTCCTAACTGCTCACCTGTCTGCCTGCCTGATTGCCCCTCACTGTCCCCCCCTGCAAGCCTGATCGCCCCTAACTGCCCCCCCCCGTTGGCCTGGTCATCCCTTACTTCCCCCTCCGCCAGCCTGGTCACCCAAAAGTGCCCCCCTCGGCTGTCCTTGTTGTCCCCAACTGCCCCCTGCCATCCTGGTGGTCCCACACAGCTTGCTGTTCAATTGTTACTGTGAGGGCATACTGACCAATTTGCATATTCCCCTTTTATTAGTATAGATTACATGTATAACTAAAGATTTAATTTTAGTGTTTGATAATATAGTGAAGGAGATAAATGACATCCACTGGCCTACTGATAATTTTGAAATACTTGTTCATTTTAACATGGTATATTAAAAATTACTTTCAATTTAAAAATAATTGTATCATGAAAGCATGTAAGTATTCTTGAATATGTTCACTACTGAAAATCCAAATAAATTCTACAATATTTTTGTGAAGGCTAAAATTGCATTTATAAGTTGACATTTTTAAAGGGTAATTCACATTGATGTATTTTGACTTTATGTTTTGAGAATAACTTTAGTTTTGCTCTACGCCCAGTTTATTTCCTGTAATTAGAATGCAGTGGATAGCTAAGAAGCAATGAGAAGAGGGCTGGTCATCCATAATGCTGAGCTCTACCCAAGTTCAGGCATCTGCTTGGTTCTGATACAGTCCACCACTGCATGGGAGACTTGCCTGTACTCAATATCCACTGCTCATATGATTCCCTGTCTCCAATTTCTGATTATCTGAAGATTTTTTTCTTTTCCTGAATAGCATCAGAAGCCAGCTGTCAAAAATTCCTGGATGATACCAACTTCATTAGTTAGTATAATCTCAGCACATAATTAAAAAGAAGAAAGAACTTTTCCATACCAATCATTCATAAAAATGTTCAGATGAGGAAACTATCATCCCTAATAAAGCAGAAACCATGTGCCATATCCCAGAGTACTCTGCACAATTCTTAACATTCTCAGTACTCAAAGGTGCTTTAATTTATTTTGTTCATATACACTCCATGTGTTCCTTATCCACTGGCAGCATCTCCTCTGGTCAGGGTTCTTTACTTGACAAGATGATCCAAATCTTCATCCATTCTAAATCAATGTGATAATATATTCTGTCTAAATGATTTGTCAGAACTTTACATTAACCTCTATATCGGACATCAGAATATTAAGTAACAATGTGCTGCACATGGAGACATAATTTTGCCTACATTTTATCATGTGTCAGTGGCCTAGTTTATCCTTGGTATTTTAGATAAATCACTACAACAGAAGAGCTCAAAATAATCAAGAACATTCAAAGGTCCTAATCTAAATAAATCATGGCCATGTCTATTGGTGGAATAATTTCTCTTGAAAAATGCAACTTCCAAACTACCTGACTCCAAGTTGTAATAAAAAATAGAATAAAATAAAAAAATTGTCTATGGGGAATGGTGAAGCATACTTGTTAGGGAGCCCATTCTCTTTCAATCCCTTAAACACATGTATTCAAACTAAAGTACCAAAGGCATCTTATATTAGGCCATGACTTCAAGCATGCACTGAATCCTATGATATAGCACCTAAAATACGTAGGGGATTATCTCAGCTAAACCCTGAAAGTTTTCATTAGCTAATGGGGATAATAGCAAATTGTATAGATATTAGATTTTGTTCATTTCTTTGACTAAAAATATGTTTCTTGCTCATGTTACTATCAATACTAGGATTGTTACTAAGACTTCATACCCATGGTTTATGAGGTTGGCAAAAGTACTACAAGACAGTGGGGGTTATTTGTTATTTAAAATTTAAATACTTCTATGGAGATAATGGATGCATCTTCTAGAATGGAAGGAGACTAATACAATCTTGTACTTGTTGGCTAGCTTGAACCCTAGGGAGTAGTGCCCCATTGAGAAGGAGGTGAGGAGATAAAACAGCTGAAGTAGTCAAATACATCCTTGTGAGGTGAATTCAATGTTGTGCACTCATGTATAGTTTCTATCCCATTGTCCATTGCTCAATGGGATAAGTTTTATGACCAAATTCTGGAAGGTGAAAAAAACAGTGTCATATACAGGATTACTGATCCAGAACACCATATTATTTAAGAAGGTTGTCTCCAGCACTTGGATTCTAGAGGAAATTCCCATTGGATACTAAGATCTTGATAATCTATGCAAATTTCAAAAAAGGTTTATATATTCTACTCTAATTTTTTTAGTCTTTAATCTTGCTTCTAATTCTTCCCAAATTTTTGACCAACCAATTAATCCATTGGTCACTGCCCATAAAGTCTGTAGATTTGTGAAGCAAGCCATTCATCTTATAATTCTGTCAATGTTTATTTTCTATAGCTTAAGGTGGTAATTGCTTCATTTACATAAGATTTTATAACTTTCAAATGAATGAAAAATTTCATCTTTTCATTGACATTTTCAGCTAAAGTCAATTCTTTTCTTTTCTTCTTCTTCTTTTTTTTTTTTTTTTTTTTTTTTAGAAAACAGCAATATTTAATGTTTCAAATGCAAATGTTAGATAAAATTATCAAATAAAACTATCCTATCTAAGCTTCACAGGAGAGTTTTACCAAACATTCAAGGAAGAACTAAAACCTATCCTCCTCAGACTATTCCAAAAAATCCAAGAGGAAGGAACACTTCCAAACACCTTCTATGAAGCCAGCATCACCCTAATACCAAAACCAGATAAAGACAACTCAATGAAAGAGAATTACAGGCCAATATCCCTCATGAACATAGATGCCAAAATCCTCAACAAAATTCTAGCAAATCGGCTCCAACAGAGAATCACAAAGATCATACACCATGACCAAGTAGGATTTATTCCAGGAATGCAAGGATGGTACAATATCCGCAAATCAATAAACGTGATACATCACATAAACAAACTGAAAAATAAAAATCATATAGTCATATCAATTGATGCAGAAAAAACATTTGATAAAATCCAACACCCTTTCCTGATAAAAACTCTTAACAAGGTGGGAGTATAAGGATCATACCTCAACATAATAAAAGCTATATATGATAAACCCACAGCCAACATTATACTCAATGGGCAAAAACTAAAACCATTCCCTCTAAGAACAGGAACAAGACAGGGATGCCCACTCTCGCCACTCCTGTTTGACATAGTACTGGAAGTACTAGCCATTGCAATTAGACAAGAGGAGGAAATAAAAGGCATCCAAATTGGAAAAGAAGTAGTAAAGTTATCCTTATTTGCAGATGACATGATATTGTACATAAAAAACCCAAAAGACTCCATTAAAAAACTAATTGACATAATAAATGAATTTGGCAATGTAGCAGGATACAAAATCAATGGCAAGAAATCCATGGCATTTCTATACACCAACAGTGAAACTATAGAAACAGGGACTAAAAAAGCAATTCCATTTACCATCGCACCAAAAAAATTAAGATACCTAGGAATAAATTTAACTAAGGAAGTAAAGGACTTATATGCAGAAAACTACACGACACTGAAAAAAGAGATAGAGGAAGATGTAAGGAGATGGAAGAACATACCATGTTCATGGATTGGTAGAATCAACATCATCAAAATGTCCATACTTCCTAAAGCAATCTATATGTTCAATGCACTCCCCATTAAAATACCAATGGCATATTTTACCGACCTAGAAAGAACAGTCCAAAAGTTCATTTGGAATAATAAAAGACCCCGAATAGCTACAGCAATCCTGAGAAAGAAGGGTAAAGTAGGAGGGATCTCAATACCAGACTTCAAACTGTATTACAAAGCCACTGTTCTCAAAACAGCCTGGTACTGGCACAAGAACAGACATATCGATCAATGGAATAGAATCGAGAACCCAGATATCAACCCAAATCACTATGCTCAATTAATATTTGACAAAGGATGCAGGAATATACAATGGAGTCAAGACAGTTTCTTCAATAAATGGTGTTGGGAAAATTGGGCAGACACATGCAAAAGAATGAAACTAGATCAACTTACACCATACACAAAAATAAACTCAAAATGGATACAGGACTTAAACATCAGACGGGAAACCATAAAAATACTAGAAGCATCCACAGGCAGCAAAATCTCAGACATATGCCAAAAGATTTTCTTCACTGATACTGCCCCTAGGGCGATGGAAGCTAAAGAGAAAATAAACAAATGGGACTACATCAAAATAAAAAGTTTTTTTTACAGCAAAAGAAACCATCAACAAAACAACAAGAAAGCCCACTGTGTGGGAGAACATATTTGCAAATAACACCACTGATAAAGGTTTAATCTCCAACATTTACAGACAGCTGATACAACTAAATAAAAGGAAGATGAATGATCCAAATAAAAAATGGGCAATGGACCTAAATAGAATATTTACAAAAGAAGACAGAAGGAAGGCTAAAAGACACATGAAAACATGCTCAGTCACTAATTGTCTGAGAGATGCAAATCAAAACAACAACGCGGTACCAACTCACACCTGTCAGAATGGCCAACATCAACAAATCAACAAACGACAAGTGTTGGCAAGGTTGTGGAGAAAAAGGAACCCTCGTGCACTGCTGGTGGGAATGCAGACTGGTGCAACCACTGTGGAGAACAGTGTGGAGTTTCCTCAAAAAACTGAAAATGGAACTCCCATTTGACCCAGTAATCCCACTTCTGGGAATATATCCCAAGAAACTAGAAATACCAATCAGAAAGGATATATGCACCCCTATGTTCATAGCAGCACAATCTACAATAGGTAGAATCTGGAAACAGCCTAGGTACCCGTCAGCTGATGATTGGATCCCAAAACTATGGTACATCTACACAATGGAATACTATGCTGCCATAAAAAAGAAGGAATTCTCATCATTTGCCGCAACCTGGATGGAATTGGAGAACATCATACTGAGTGAAATAAGCCAATCAATGAAAGAGAAACACCACATGACCTCACTCATTTGTGGACAATAAAAGACATTATAAACCGATGAACCAAAAGATAGATATAGAGACAGTAAAGCAACAAGCAGATTGTCAAATTACAATTGGAGGGGAGGAGGATCTGGGGGAGATAATAGATCAACCCAAGGACTTGTATACATGCATATAAGTACAACCAATGGACATAAAACTCAGGGGAGGGAGGAGATGTGTGGGAGGGTGGAGGGCAAAAAACATCAATAAAATATGTAAAAATAAATAAAATAAAATAAAAACAAAACTATCCTATCTAATAAAATGATAATATGCAAATTAACCATCACTCCATCACAAAGGTGGTGATGCCCATAGCCACAAGGTGGTGGTGCCCAGTTCTCTCAGCCCCACTGGAGTCCCTCAGTCCTAGGCGGGGGGAGGGAGGGATGGCCACTGAGAGTGGGCAACATGAGCAGCCTGGCAGAATGCTTGCTTTATCACCAGGGTGATGAGGCAAGTGTTCCACACCAGGCTGAGTGGCTCTCTGGGCTGCAGAGAACCTCTGGGCAGTGGGTGCTGAGTGGCCAAGCCACACAGAGAGCTATTGGTGCATGAATTCGTGTGCAGCGCTACTAGTAAATTTATAAAAGTGAAAACCAAAATGGCCTTTACCTTTCTGATGTAAAACACTAACCACTGCTGACCCCAGGATAGTCTGAGGCTACACCCCTCTCCCCCATTGCTCCCAGAATGTAGTGCCTGTATTCAGGGACTTGCTCAGCCTCTGGCAGTGGGCTTCTTGTTGCAGAAGCTGAGTGCCAGAGACAAGAAGCAAGAGGGTCATGGTGAGGTTGTGAGGTCGGGGAATCAGAAGCAGTGCAGCAGGCCTCACCCTTCTGGAGTCTACATTCTAGGTAGCATATGTAGAAAGGGCCTGACCTGGTTGGCAGTAGTCAGGGGTGGTCCCCTGCCAGGGCCAGCCTGACAGGTTGAACCCGGCTGAGGTAGGGAGGAGGGAATTGAGAAAAGAAAGAAAGACAGGAAAGTGGGGCCAGGAGGATTCCAGGTAGCCATCGACCGACTGCAGTAGGTTTATTAACTGCGCAATGCTTTTTAAAAATATATTTTATTGACTTTTTACAGAGAGGAAGAGAGAGTGATAGAGAGTTAGAAACATCAATGAGAGAGAATCATCGACCAGCTGCCTCTTGCACACCCCCTACTGGGGATGTGCCCGCAACCAAGGTACATGCCCTTGACCGAAATCGAACCTGGGACCTTTCAGTCCACAGGCCAAGGCTTTATCCACTGAGCCAAACCGGTTTCGGCTGCGCAATGCTTTTTATCCACAAAACACTGAATAGGAGGTCTGTCAAGAGGAATGTATTCTTTGTTCCTCTTAATCTCTGAGAGAGACAGAGAAGAAGGACAAATTCTTGGTACAGCAAATCTTAGTATATGGTTACAGATTTCTTGGTAAGCCATGAAAGATTGCTCTCATTCTACTGATGTAGCCAGTCAAACAAGTCTGGGAAAACTGTGTGGGTAGGGGGCCAACCCTGCTAGCCCCCTCGAATGCAAGGACCTTGTCAGCTTACACCCTGTCTCCCACAGTTCCCTGGTGAATGAGCCTGAGTAGAGGAGGTGGCAACTTGTATATATATCAGGGCAGAACAGGGGAAGGGCAGTCAAGTAAGTGGCCCATAAGAGCTGCTCGCAATGTATCAATAGGAACTGCAAGGCTGGGAAAGTCAGACTTCCTGCCCCAGAATCTTTGCACTTGGTCTGGAAAGCTTTTCTCCAAGTGGCCACATATCTGTCCTGACCTCCTCCAATTCTTTACTTCAGAGTCCCTCCTCAGCAAAATGTTCTTTTTGTGGCCCCTTTCTTCACCCAAAATTCCATTTCAGTCATGATTGGTCCTACTAGCATGTGCACTTCAAGAAGGCAAGGATATTGGAGACTATCTTTTCACTTTCAAAGCTCCAGCTATCTTCCCAGGGCCTGGCACACAGCAGATGCTTAATACATGCTTCCTCAGAAATTCTGCCACCCAGGTTGTCCCTACAGTCTTTATCAGCAATACCTACCCGTCCATCTTTGATGCTAAAGCAGACATTGCGCTCAATGACAAGTTCGTGAAGCTGCAGGTGCACAAGGGCTGGGCCAATTATTCTCTAATATCAATATAACAACATCTGCATCCTTTGTGAAGCACATACATGATGTATGGAGTCAGATGAGCACCAAAATTATAGGGTGATCATGTCATAAATTCTATACATTTTTAATCACTATTTTGTAAATCTTTAATATACTGTATGTGAAAAGTCTCCTTTTCAGATAGTCTTCAGTTAGTAATTTAGGGGCATGGCTTCTCAGTTTAGTGCTATTTCCAGTTTGGATCTGAGAGCAGGTGTGAGAAAGACCCACCTACTCCACCACCATCTTGAAAAACCCACATTTACTATTTTTAATCCATTTTTCAGGCTATTATAATCTCATGTTTAAGTTATCAGTAAACATTTTTAATCAGTTTCCCTTCTTTTAAACTTTTGCTTTTCTATGAATTCTATGTTTAGCTGCCAGAATTATTTGCTAAAGGAAAATATTGGTTTTGTGATTGTCCTTCTTTAAGATTTGAGTAAATAACTTTTGCATATAAATTAAAATTGAAACCATTCTACATTACCTATTGCCTGCTATTTCAATCCAACTTTCCTCTATACCCTACTTCCCACAACTTTCTCTGCAATCCATATGCACTGGAATGTTTTCCAAATACACATGAACTTTTTTCATTCCTCTATTCATTGAGAAATCTGTCCTTTTGCCACACTCTGCCTAGATCCCTTCCAAGGCTTTCATCTCACCTCAGATGTTATCTACCTCACTACAGTTGTTTCCAATTATTTCATAATGGATTGTTTTGTCACTGGAATACTGAACACCCTGTACTCATCGTAAGACTCTTATCAATATACTTCCCATAGGTGTCCAAATTGTTTGCTATTTCACATAGGGAAAATGATGTGGAATATGTTTTCACCTAAACCACTTGCCACCTTCAAACTCAAAGTGGAATGGGTGTTGGGGTGTGTGTGTGTGTGTGTGTGTGTGTGTGTGAGAGAGAGAGAGAGAGAGAGAGAGAGAGAGAGAGAGAGAGAGAGAGAGAGAGAGAGAGACAGAGAGACATAGAGACAAAGAGATAGAGAGAGGGATATATTAACTTTAGGTGGTTCCTATTTGTTATTTTCTTTATTTCCAATCTGGAATATGAAAAAAATCCCAGGTATCTATTTTATTTCTGTTTTATTCCCTCAATAAACATTAACCTTGCATATAATGCAAAAAATGTTTCCTTTTAAAGTTAATTTTTAACTTGCTGTGGGTTTTTATTGCCATTTGGTCTCTGCACTGGGCAGAAACTCCCTAAAACCCCAGCAGAGCAGTGTGTGGCGGAGCTGCTGTCATGTTATCTAAGAAGTGGGCTTTGGCGGTTCTGCTGCTGCGGCTCTGTGGTGCTGGCTGTGGATTCTGTGGAAAGGTTCTGGTATGGCCCGTGGACATGAGCCATTGGCTTAATGTAAAGACCATTCTAGAGGAACTCACAAAGAAAGGACATGAGGTAACAGTGCTGACTTTTCCACATACTCAGCTCATAGACTACAGGAAACCTTCCCCACTGAACTTCGTGGTTTTACATCCTGAATTTCCAAAAGAATTCATGGAGAAAGCACAAAACAAATTTGTTGACGTAATTTTGAATGACTTGCCAAACTTAACACCCTGGCAATCCACAGTAAGACTGAATGATGTTGTTATTGAAGTAACTGAAAGTGTAAAAATGCTGTGTGAGAGTGCAGTCTACAATCAGACACTCATGAAGAAGCTCCAAGGAACCAACTACGATGTAATGCTTATAGACCCTGTGATGCCCTGTGGAGAGCTTGTGGCTGAATTGCTTGCAGTCCCTTTTGTGCTCACATTAAGAGTGTCTATGGGAGGCATGAAGGAGAAACACTGTGGGAAACTTCCCACTTTCCCTTCCTATGTTCCTGTTCAGATGGTGGGACTTACCGACCGAATGACCTTTCTGGAAAGAGTAAAAAATACAATGCTTTCCATTTTCTTTGACTTATGGATCCGGGATTATGACATTCATTTTTGGGACCAATTTTACAGTGAGGCATTAGGTAAGACATTTTGCTTTTTATTTAAAACTTGTTATCAAAACAATTTAGAAATGTAAGTGGATGAAATATAAGTAAAGGGAAGAAATACATTTTAAATATCTATCTTCCATTTAAAACTCTACTATCATAGTAAGAGTAATCAACTGGTTATCAAAATTAAGTGAAAATGGGAACAAAAAATCTCTAGCCATGGTTACTTTGTCTTTATAATTATCAAATAATTTATCATAAGAAAACTTGATACTTGTAAGGAATGTTTGTCATATTTGGATATTACATAAATATAGAACATTGAGTTTCCATATTAGAGGAAGTTATACCTATTCTTGGGGAAGACAGTATAATGTTTATCCAAAGAGCAAGATAACCTACTTGTCTGATACCAGTAATAAGCTAAAATATGATTATGAACAAATATATTTAATTCATCTGTATCCACTTCAAAACTTTTTTTATAATTAGTGATGATTACACTCAATTTTATACCATTTTTACTAGAACAGAGTGTCGGCCATTCTTTGTTTGATTTTAGTGTTGAGAGTATTAAAAAGCTGTATTATTCTAGAAGACCTAAACTGAATTTTGCCTTGATGGTTAATCATAAAGTTAGTGGTGTATTTTCCTATTTAAGTTATAGTCTAATTCCCTCTACACAACTCCCTCCCCCCCCCCCCCTCAGGAAGACCAACTACATTATGTGAGACTCTGGGGAAAGCTGAAATTTGGTTAATTCGAACATACTGGGATTTTGAATTTCCTCGTCCATACCTACCTAATTTTGAATTTGTTGGAGGATTACACTGCAAACCTGCCAAACCATTGCCTAAGGTAAGACTACAACATTGATAGACTTTATATACCTTATGATATGATACCTGATTTCCTTTTCTAGCTTAAAGTCTTGGTAAGAAAATGTGATATTGAATATTATTGGATAGACAACTCTATTTCCATGCTAGAGGGCTCTTGTGAGTTTTTTTTTATAGGTATTTAGGGATCATATTGGGAAATCAGGCTGAAAAAAAATGGCATGATTAAAGCACATCTTAAAATATCATTATTTTTACAATACGGATAATTAATAGGAGCAACTGGAAACTGGGGCCATTGAAAATCACTAAAGACACTGCTGTAGTATTCTTCACAAGTGTGACAAAGTTATGAAAATGGGCATATATTACGATGGTTGAGAGATAAACATGTTTTCATGAGACATGGGGATAAGTTCCACACTATCTTCTGGGTGAGAGAAAAAGTAAGAGTTAAATGAAGAGAAGGAAATGAAGATGACTCTTGGATTTTAATTTTGAATGTTTGTTTGATAGTGATGGCTTCTACTGAAATAGAAAACATAAAATAAAATTTATTTAAGACTAATACAATGAGTTCTATATTGTGACTATTTACTTAAAGGAACAAGCTGAATTTTTAGGTAGAATTTTCTAGAAGTCATTTGGGTAATAGGTGGTCTCAAGCTCAACACACAGCAAAGGAAATATTGGAGGTCACCAGCATAAGTGTTCAAGAAAATGAGAGACCCAATCTTGGCTTGATTCTTTACCAACTTGATGACAGGTTTCTTTTTGAATAAAAAAAGATAATTGTATACCACATTCTTAAATCTTCAAAGAAAAAAATGTAGAATGTCAGGGATGTTAAAACAAAACAGAATTGAGAAACAAATGAGTAATACATAAGCATTACGCAAGTACTGTGTGAATCCATCAATAGTGAGTGAAGAGGAAAGCCCACATTTACTTGTACTGTGAGAATATTTTAAAAATATTTTTAGAAAGTTTATAGGGTACATGATGTTCCTAGGAGAATTCTTGATTTATTTTACAGAGGGCTCTTAGAAATGGAAGGCTTTGGCATGGATTGGTATCCAGAAACTTTGATTTGCATGGGTCTGGCATGGAGCCAGAGCAGGTGCTAGAAAAACAGGTTTCAGAAAATCCTCATTCTGAGAATAGTCCCACAGATAAGGGTAAGAGGATTATCAAAACTGAGAATATTAATGCAGAAAAATCATCAAAACAGAAAGTGGATTTGCAGTCTTTGCCAAATGTACCTACCTGGATCAGATTGTTGTGCCTATCTTATTACAGAAAATTGCTCTACTTGCAAAGGAAAGACTACTAAATCCTTTTGAATTTCTAGCATCATGTATTTTAAAAAAAACAAGTCAGAGTTGGAAGATAGAAACTGACTTATTGGGAAGAAGAGAAAAATTTGGTTTATATGATTAAGAAGCAGCTTTAACAGTCATAACTCCCTCAACCCCTTTTTTAGAAGTATAAGAAACTTCAGAATAACAATTTATTTCTAGAGTTGCAGAAGAAAAAGTATTACACTTATTTTTATTTAATCACAATACTTATTTAATTAGTGTATTCTGTGCATTTTTTCTCTGGTTATCCTTAAATTTGTTTTTAAATTACTTTCAAAATAAACTGTTAAGACACAAAAGAAAGCAAAAGTGATGATGACAGCCCCTTCAATCAGAACACACACACACACACACACACACACACACACACACACACACATTTTATTCATTCTCCATGTTTTTGGGAAGGTGAATCAAAATAATAGCAAGATAATTTCTGTGGGGTCAAATATGTCCTCCTAATATTAATGAAGCTGACATAGTCAACTTTGACATCATCTCTTTTCTGGTCATTTAATAGTCTTTAATTGGGGAATATGTGATTCCAGAGTTGCCACAAAAGCTGTCACAGGAAATACATGATGCATGTCTAGAAGATATTGTTCTCATAGAATATGATCTGACTGGGCCCAAACCCAGAGTTTTCCATGGCCAACTTGCACAGCTTTAAATGGTGAGGCAGTTTAATTTACAGAAGTAGCTATGTATCAACTCAGTGCTAAGGCTGAAATTAAGAACATGTAGCTAGTGTCCACTGAGTTGGTAGTTTTATAGATCAGAAAGACAGGCAATCACTATCTTCTAAAAGTAATTTATGATTATAGAGCCTTTTTAATATGTTATATCTCTTTTTCCTATACATTACTATTACTATATTGGAGGCCCAATACATGAAATCTATGCAAGAGTAGGTCTTCCTTCCCCGGGCTGCAGGCACCCCTTACCTCTGGCATCCAGGACCCAGACTGGTTTCCCTCCTGCTGGCACTTGGGGCCTATACTGGCTTTGCTCCAGCCAATGGCAGGCACCCATGACTCCAGCTTTGCTCTGGGCCCTGCTTTTGATGGAACTATTTCTGGAATGACATCTAGAAGGAGCCTTGTCTAATTAGCATATTAGCCTTTTATTATTATAGATATCACAATTCTAACAAATATCTACTTCAGCAGACTTGAACATGAGAAAATTATCAATGAAGCTATAGGCAGATCAACATAGTAATGATTTATAGATGTAAACTGTCAGATGCCTAATTCAGACCCATTCTTTTCAGGAATATTGTCATGAGCTTATGAAGAACTCAGTTATTAATAAAATTAAACATGGTTAGTAACATGAAAGTCCATCAACCATGAAATGTACTGTATTCTTATCACCTAACCCTCTGATATAAAGGTTTGAATCTATGATTATTCACTAATCAATGATATGTATGTAAGCCAAAGATTTTATTTATCTATTTATTATAATTAATTTTATTGAGGTGACATTGGTTAATAAATTTATATAACTTTCAAGTGTATAAATCTACAATACATTATCTGTAATTGCATTATATATTTCCTCGTAAAGAGAGTAGGTGGTTCTAAATGTCAAAGATTTTTAAAAATATATATTTTATTGATTTTTTACAGAGAGGAAGGGAGAGAGACAGAGAGCTAGAAACGTCGATAAGAGAAAAACATCGACCAGCCGCCTTTGACCGGAATTGAACCTGGGACTCTTCAGTCCACAGATCGACGCTCTACCACTGAGCCAAACCGGTTTCGGTTAAATGTCAAAGATTTTAAAAAATCTAACCAGGCCTCTGACAATCCCCTTGAATCTTTAATTTAAAGTATAAAAGAGTTTTATTATTTCCTAACATACTATATATCTGTAATACAAAGAATTGTTTCTCTATAGGAAATAGAAGAATTTGTCCAGAGCTCAGGCAAAGATGGTATTGTGGTGTTTTCTCTGGGTTCAGTCATCCAAAACCTCACAGAAGAAAAGGGCAATCTTATTGCCTCAGCCCTTGCCCAGATTCCACAGAAGGTTAGTACAAAAACCTTTAATCCTGCTGGGCTTGTGTCTTTCCCACTGAAAGTTGAATCTCATTTTACACTTAACATATCAGGTACCAGCATTAAGTAAAAATTTGTAAAACATTACAATAGTGAGTGTAGGCATATTTGGACCTTGCTTGCTGAGATTTGCTGCTACAATCATTTGTTTTCTATGAAATAGAGATGAAAACATTAAGCACCATTTTTCATGAAATCTTAAGGCCTATTCTAATGATTCCCAAAATAGATCTGAAGTGCATTTATTCCAGGAGCAAGAAAAGAGAGAAGTGAAATGACAAACATAGGTATGAAGGCTGCATTAGAATATCCTCCTTGTATTTGTTTGTATTAGGACTTGATTCATCATAGTTGAGCACAGAAGTAGAAATCTGGATTTATTTAGCATTTTAATTAACATTTTCTAGAATTAAAAGGCCATAGAAATGTTAATATAGTCTAGCAATTTTCATGTCCTAACATGATATTCAATTCATTTTAATGTTATCACCACCATCTTAAATTATAGCTCTTTATATATTGTTATTTATGAAATATGCAACAGCTTTTTTTATTTGTTCATTTGGTTAAAGTCTATAAAATTCTATAAAAATTAACATATAATTTCAAATATGATAATTGCAGAAACGAAACCAAACAGAATTCTTCACCAAACTTTGGGATATAAGCAAAAGCACTACCTTATTTTACTTTCAAAAAAACAAGTTGTGGGAGAAAAAAAGAAAGAAATGGAGGATGAAATGATAACCAGTCATCCAAAAAATAAGTAGCTAAAATCTAAAGCAATGTCATTTGTAAGAAACACAGATATGAAGATAAAGCTAGGATTGTCAGTGACAAAAATTTATACAGAGATCCTGTGGCCATAACAATTTTAACTCCAAAACTCTGACTCATTAGGCTGGCATGGCATTATTTTCTAATTCTTCACTAACGATTTCACTCTGGAAAGTTCTTAGTGATAATAGACAAAATGATAGCAGGCAACTACCACAAATTCTTTTAAAAAGGTTGTTATAAGCAGTCCCACTATTTCTTTGTGTTCATAAAGTATACCTCTATACTCTCTTCTCAACTATCACCTAAAGTAGAGTAGATGCATGATGTATACAAATTATACAACCTTAAAACATCATTATCCTGTGTTATTACTTGTGAAATATATTCACCGTCTTCCACAGGTTTTATGGAGATACAAAGGGAAGAAACCAGCCAAATTAGGAGCCAACACTCAGCTCTTTGACTGGCTACCCCAGAATGATCTTCTTGGTAAGACTAAGTGGAAGAAGGGGTATATAGTAATTGAAGGACAAGTTGATTAATTGTTGAACAGCTAATCTATATATATATAAAGAGCCAGGGTTGTAACATCCGCAATGACCGGAGGCTCAACTGTTCTTCAGCTCTGCACATGTAGCAGGCCAGTGGGCTGAACTGCTGACCTCTGAGAGGTAGAGAATGGTGTGGCTGATCAGCTGTGGCAATGGCTGATGGCAAGGCCTGGATAAAGAAGCAGGGTGATCAGACCCTGCTTCTCCCTCCCAGTCTCACCAGCAGGCAAGCCTCTCTCTCTCTCCCAAAGGTCAGCAGTTCAGCCTACTTATTAGAAGCCTGGACCAAATGCCAGGTTGCATGTGCAGTCGGATGAGTGGGATAAACTGCTAACCTCTGGAAGAGAGAGAGAAGCAGGGCTGATGGAGCTTAAAACGGCAGTCGGACATTCCCAGAAGGGTTTCAGGGTGCAGGTCAGGGTGAGGAACCACCTCCTAGCACAAATTTCATGTACCAGGCCTCTAGTAATAACATAAAAACTAATATCAACAAATACTTAACAATAGTAAATATTTTTCATTTTACCTCCAATTCAAAAAGACATCTACATTAATAAAAGAGAAACATGCAAATTGACTATACCTCTGCTATGCTCACAAGCCATGCCCATCAAGCCAATTATAAGTGAGGATGAAAATTAACCCAACCAAGATGGCTGCAGCCACATAGCAAGTAGGAGGCTTGGTTTTCCCTTGCAATGGGGGAAGCCAAGTTTCCTGCCCACTCTGGCTCACCTTGGCCTCTGCTCAAGGCTACAAAGTTTCAATTATAGAAGATATATAAATCCCAGCAAAAATGGCAGCAGCTACGGAGCTGGAGAGAGCAGGAAGTTTGGGTTGCCATCAGCAATGGAGGAAGCCAAGCTTCCTGGCCAGCCCTGTCCTCTGCTCAAAGCTACAAAATTTAAATTATAGAAAATAAATAAATCCAAGATACAAGGGCCTCCACATGGGTTTCCAGAGGGCATGGCTGGCCTGCAAACCACCATAGGCTCCTCACCCAGGCTATCCCATGCTGCAAGGGAATCCCCACCCTGATCCAGGACACTCTTTATGGCAAACCAGCTGGTCCGCACCCTTGCACCAGGCCTCTATCCTATTTAATAAAAGAGTAATATGCAAATTGAATGTCACTCCAACTTACAAGGTGGCTGCCTCTAGGTGGTCAAAGATGGCTGCCCCATGTGAACACAAGAAGGCCACCATAAGATGGCCAACAGGAGAGGAGAGCTGGGAGGGCCCAGGTCTGCAAGGGAGGGCAGTTGGGGGCCATCAGGCTTGCAGGGGAGGGCAGTTAGGGATAATCAGGGTGGCAGGGGAGCAGATAGGCATCAATCAGGCTGGCAGGGGAGAGGTTAGGGGAAGATCAGGCTGTCAGACAGAAGTGGTTAGTGGCAATCAGGAAGGCAGGCAGGTGAGCAGTTGGGAGCCATAAGTCCTGGATTGTGAGAGGGATATCCAACTGTCTAAGGAATCCCAGATTAGAGAGGGTACAGCTGGGCGAAGGGACACCCTCCCCCCATGTATGAATTTTATGCACCAGGCCTCTAGTAATTAAATATTTGACCATTCATTTTATAGATTCATACTTGCTATGAATTTAGATAAGAGGTTGAGGTAATACAGAGGGAATTAATGCCTCATTTTCCTGGGATAACAATTTTATGTGGTAGCAGTGCCCCACAGGAAATATTATAGAAAATACGACCTTCTTCAGTAACTTATCCCATAGCTTCCTCTTCTGTCTCTGAATTTCTGTTCATGCATTACAATAAAAACTACAGGCCCACTGCACAATATTCATGCAAGAATAGGCCTTCCTTCTCCTGGCTTCACTCCCAGCCTCCCGGGAGCCAGCAAGTCCCCACTCTTTGGCCCAGCAGCCTGCATGTCCCAGCTCCTGGGTTGCCCAGAGCCAGCAAGTCCTCACTTCTGTCCAATGCACCACTCCAGTAGTTTTCTCCACCATCCTTCTTTCCCTCATAGCAGGCTTGGAGCAGTGTGATTGGCTGTGGACATAGTGGAGTGATGGCTCTGATTGGCTGTGGGCATAGTGGAGTGATGGCTAATTTGCATATTTCTCTTTTATTAGGTAAGATTTTCACCTGCTTCTCATTCCATCCCCAAACTAGGTCATCCAAAAACCAAAGCTTTTATCACTCATGGTGGAATAAATGGGATCTATGAAGGTATTTATCATGGAGTCCCTATGGTGGGAATTCCCATGTTTGCTGATCAGCATGATAACATTGCTCACATGAAGGCCAAAGGAGCAGCTGTGGAGGTGAACATGCACACAATGACAAGTGCTGAGTTGCTCAAGGCCGTGAGAACAGTCATTAATGATCCTTCGTAAGTACTACTTCCTTCTAAAGGATTTCCATTAATTGTATTAAGCACCAGACTAGAAAACATTAGAGATAATACTTACCTTTTAATGGATCTTTTCCCATAATCTTGGACCATTCATGATCTTGGTCTTGGAAATCTTTTGGAAATCATATTTCATTCAATGTCACCCTTCAGAAAAATTAAGCTTCAATTAACAACATTTTTATTCTTATTATTTTTTCTATTCCCCTATTTGACCACATTATGTTAATAATAAATTTACCATCTCCCTACTATACGTGTTAAATGCTATACAATGAGCAGCTTTCATGTAGCAATTCTGTGGCCCTTAGATTAATTTTTATAACATGTATCATGTGACAAAAAAACAAAACAAAATTTCATTCATTTCTTTCTCTTTTGCCTTCTTCCTCATAATATGTATCATGTGGCAAACAAAATTAAATTTCATTCATTTATTTTTCTTTTGCCTTCTTCCTTATTTGCCTTCCAGCTATAAAGAGAATGTGATGAGATTATCAAGGATTCACCACGATCAACCTGTAAAGCCTCTAGATAGAGCCGTCTTCTGGATTGAGTACGTCATGCGCCACAAAGGAGCCAAACACCTGCGGCCAGCCTCCCATGACCTCAGCTGGTTCCAGTACCACTCTTTGGATGTGATTGGGTTCCTGCTGGCCTGTGTGGCATCTGCTATATTCTTGATCACAAAATGTTGTTTATTTTCTTGTCGAAAATTTGGTAAACCAAGAAAGAGGAAAAAGAGAGAATAGATCTTTCCAACTTAGGCAAAGATCTGAATGGACAAACTTGTTTATTCCTGCACCTCCTTCTTGTTTTCAATTTTTAAATTCCTCTTTTTTGACCTAAAGAAACAGCCTAAAATTCCACAAGATCATTAACTGGTGAGCATGTCCCATTCTTCTTTGATAGCCTCAGAGAGGTTTATCCTCTTCCTTTTTATCCACTTTCTGGCACAGGGACATTAATAATTTTAAAATTCTGTTCATGATAGCACTTTTTAAATTGTATAACATTCAGTGATATGATAATTGCTGGAAATAACAAAATATGAGCCCAATTTCATGAATGGGGGAAGCTGAGAATTATACAGTTCACCAGTTGTAAATGATCATATAAACAGGGAAGTGTCCTCAAAAATTATTTTGCTATGAAAATAAGATTTCTGTTTTAAATAAGCCTCTCTACTTGCCCAATGTTATTAGGATTAGGCCAAAATTGAAAATAATGATGATAAGACATTCCGTTTCAGAATGTTTACAGTTTCCATAAAGCTCAGCATTAGTCTGCTCAGGTACCATAATAAAATATTGCAGACGCAGTGGCATAAGCAACAGAAATTTATATTTTCACAATTCTGGAGGCTAGATATGCAAGACCAAGATGCCAGCAGGGCCTGGCTGTGATGGTTCAGTGTTTGACCTATGAACTAGGTCACAGTTCCATTTCCATCAGGGTAAATGCCGGGTTGCCTGTTTAATTCTCAATAGGAGGCATGCAGGAGACAGCCAATAAATGATTCTCTTATCATTGATGTTTCTCTCTCTCTCTCCCTCTCATTTCCTCTCTGAAATCAATAAAAATATATTTTTTAAAAATGCCAGTAGAGTTGGTTTCTGGTGAGGCCTCCTTCCTGACAAAAGAAAGTGACCTTCAAATTTTGTCCTCTCATGGCCTTTTCTCTGTATACACCTGGTAAGAAAAAGATGCCTATGTCTCTTCCTCTTATTACAAGGATACAAGTACTTAAAGTCCACCTTCATGACTTAATTTTATTGTAAATATCTTGTTAAAGGTCTTATCTCCAACTATTGTCACATTGGGAGTTAAGGCTTCAATATATAAATTTGAGAGAGGTACACAATTCTGTCCATAACAAGCTCTACAAAAAAATTATGCCAGTTTTGGCCTTTAATCAACAAATATTTCTGTGTGCCTTTTATGTACTAGGGACAGTGCTGAGCATGTCTTTAGACATTAAAGATAACCAATGGAATGATTCCCCCCCCAACAAATGAAGATGTCAGTAATGTTTTAAAAGTAAAAAGATTATTTTAAGAAATGTAAAGAATTATATAAAAAAATTGTTTTATTAATTTTAATGAGATTTTTAAAGACCAGTGCAATTCATAATCTGAATGTTGAATGTCAATTTATTATATTTTAAAATAACTGGTATTTATAATTTAAGTAATCCTATATAATAAAGAGGTAATATGCAAATTGACCCTCACACCATCACACCATAAACAGCTTGCTGTGCCCTCAGCAGAGGCAGGGTTCCCATAACACAAGATGGCTGGACCCATAGTGGAGGTGGGGTTCCCATAATGAACCATATAAGTGATCAGCAGGGACCTGAGGCTGCATGGCTCCAGGCTGGGGCAGGGGACCTGAGGCGGATCCCCCAGCCCAGTGAGGCTTGATGGGGGATGCCAGACCACACCCTCCACCCTGACATCAGGTCAGGTGCCCTCAGGCTGTATCCCCGGTACCTGTGCCAGGCCAGGGGACCTGAGGTTGCACTGGGGAACCTAAGGGTGTGCCTCCCTGCTAGGCCATGGGCCAGGGGAACTGAGGCTGTACCCTCAACCCAGCGAGGCTTGATTCGGGCACAGAGGCTGTGACCCCTGCCTGCCTGTGGGGCTTGACAGGGGACATGAGGCTGTGCCCCTGCCCTCCACCAAACCAGGGAACCTGAGGCTGCATCCCCCCCCGAAAGAGCTTCATGGGGGTGGGGTTGGCCAGGTCTTGGTCTCTTGTGATTTTGAGGTGCACACAGGTGTTCAGGCACTTGACTCTGGGTCCAAAGGTTTGCCCCAGACTCTGACAGGAGAAAGTTTTCGTATACATTTTACTAATTTTCTTTCATCTCTAACATCTTCTATTATAGAGAAAGGACAAATAGCATTATTAAAATATTTCCTCTAATTTATTCCTTTTTAATGTGCACAAATTTAATGCACTGGGCCACTAGTAGTACTTGTATAATCAAAGAAATTATTTCCTACACACACAAAAAAAAATCCTATTGTCTGAAGGTAAGATCATTATAATTTTTTAGTCTCTTTATTCTATAAATTCATTACATATGATTTCATTCATATCCTATCTAATAAAGAGGGAATATGCCAATTGACCATCATGCCATCATAAAATGGTGGTGCCCATAGCAACAAGATGGTGGAACCCAGTTCGTCCACCTGCCACCAGAGTCCCACAGTCCCTTCAGCCCAGTTTGGGGGGGTGGGGGGCGGCAGGTGAATGGTGTGGCTGGAACTACCATGTGCCCCCAAGCCACCCAGGCCCAGCCAGATGGTAACTGTCAGCCAATGCCCAAGGTGCCCTGGTGAGCAGAGAAACCTTTGTTAGGTAATATACAACCAACTTATTGTGGATTTAAGAGGAGGTATAAGGGGATCATCTAACTTTGCCATGCTGCTGGCATTAGTATTTCTATCTGCCACACACAGCACTTAAAGTAATATGTTCTAAGTCATAATGAATTTAATGCATCCAGGACATTCAGTTGATAACACTAATGTCTTAGATGAACTGAAAAAAATGTAACTTATAGATTACTTCTTGAATAGGTTATGCTCACATAACCCACATGTGGCATAGTTTCCATATTAATATAAACTGGCTTAATAAGCTTTTAACAGAATAGGCAGTTAATGGTGCATTTTCTTGTTAACCACACTAAAGGGACTATTCCAACTCAGAATAACTCAGTTTCCCTGTGAATAACAATGTTCCTTTCCAAATACATAAATTTTAATGAAAACCATACTTACAAAAAGTGTGGATAATGAAGGGAACAAAGGGAAATGATGAGGTGTCCAGAGAAACTAACAATAGTGACTACTGATTACAACAAATATAAAGTAAGTGAAAAACCTGAAGTGTATAAGTCAGGAACATAACAAATTTAGTAGATAAAGTAGAAGAGCAATAAATCCTAGGCCATGTGAATAAAACTACTAACACCTTTTTATCTGATATCAGATTTTGTTGCTGAACCTGGTATATCTTCTTTTCGGGAAATAGTCGGGGCAGAAACTATATTTCAATATGGGAGATAAAAAAATTAGACAAGACAATAGGGGGGTGAGGGCCTGTCCTGGGACGCAGGAGCCAGCTGGGGGATGTCAATGGGAGAAAAGGAAGACATATGTAACATGTAAAACTTTCAACAATAAAGAAGTTAAAAATTAACAATAAATAATACAAAATGTGTAGACAATTCTCATAAAGTAGCATTCAGGAAGTAAATTGATGGTGAATGGGAAAGGAAGGTAACAAAGATTGGGGGATGCAGGCATCAAGATCCATATATGTATTTTATTTCATAACACTGTTAAGTGTGAAATGCTTAGCATAATTTTAAGTACTCAATATATGAATTCAAATAATTCTTACAATAATCATTGTTAATATACAAGTTTTACAGATAAGAAAACTCAGGTACCAATGGGTTAAATAATTTTCCTAATGTGATTTATTGGCTAGTGGTTGGGGAAGGATCTTTCCATAAGCAGTCAGAGCCAAGAGTAAATATTGTCACAATTAAATTAAATATAGCTCATTTATCAATGTCTGCCTTTTCCTGCAAAAGAACTCACAAAGAGGAGAGGTTAAAGAGATAGAAAGAAGTGGTACAATAAATAGACTAAGGTCCTGAGGTTGACTGTTTTTATCAGGGGTAGAGGGTAGGATGCTTCATTCATGTAAATGGAGAAAAAAAAGATAATTATATGTGTAGGAAAGTTTATAACATTTAGGGAGGAAGTAAATAATTTGATTCCTTATAAAATAGGACAGGATATAAAATATTCTCTTTCAATTATTACTTCAAGTTTTATGTTGATTAAAATGTTTCCAGCCTGGCTTGCATGGCTCAGTAATTGAGCATTGACCTATGAACCAGGAGGTTGCAGTTTGATTCCTGGTCAGGGCACATGTCTGGATTGTGGACTTGATCCCCAGTATGGGGTGTGCAAGAGGTAGTTGATCAATGATTCTCACTCATCATTGATGTTTCTATCTCTCTCCCCCTCTCCATTCTTCCCTGATATCAATATATTTTTTAAATGCTTTCAAAGTCAAGCTATGCAGCACTTACATTTTACCTAGGCTGAACTCACTTTGTTCATCCAATCAACAGCACTTTAAAACCTACCCCAGTTGGAGATCCGTGTCCCTCCTGTTTCAGTAGGTGTGCCTCTGGGCTTTGGGAGTCACTCCCTATTCCTCTTTCTCCATCTTTGCTCACACTGCTCTTTCTCCATATTCAGCCACCCTCTCTGATGATGAGAGAAGCTGTTTCAGTAAAAGTTACTTCTCAGTGTAGATGAGAATTCCTAGAACCAAGGGGACTGTTTTGTTTTATAGCTCCAAGAATGAGTATTAAGTGGCATATTAAAGTACAGAAAAAGCAATCTTTCTTCCATAATCCTGTATTTTTCCCATTGCTTCCCAAAAATGTCAATGGAATCTCATGTCTCTTTAGGATAATCCTGACATTTTTGTCAAAAAAAATTTCATTTTTAAAACTCAAAACACTTTTTCCATCTTCCTAACGGCAGTCCATACTGAGAGATTGCTTGTTGTCTTTACCTATTTCTTACTATTAGCCACTGGAAAAGCAAATAAAGTACCGACATTGGCCATAAATTAGCAAATACCATACACTAGAGACTATAAAGTGGAAATCTTTGTGTCTTGATTGGAGTTGCTGACTTGGAAAATA